GGACAAATAATCCTTAAAACCAGAAAACAAAGCCTAGAAGGAAGAAAATCAGCAATGTTTTAGTCAAAAGTCATAAAATGCTATTTTACCAGTTCATATCTTCTGTTGTGGTTTGATCTTCCTGATTAAATTCTGGGATATAATGTTCAACTCCAGACATGTCCCTATGATTAAGTTGGCCATTTTCTTAGTTTTTGAACTCTTATTTCTGTGTATCTGCTGGTATAGCTCACCCTTGAGAACTTCTTAGAGATCTGGTCTGGTGTTGGTAAATTCTTTCAGGTTGTCTTTATCTGAGAATGTCCTTGTCTTTTCTTCCCATATGGAGAATAATCTTGCCGAGTACAGTATTCTTGGTTGAAATTGCCTGTCCCTTAACACTTTGAATATATTTTCCCATTCTTTCCTTGCTTGCATTGTTTCTGATGAGAGATCTGCTGTTAGCCTGATGGGATGTCCTTTGTAGGTAACGCCATTTTTCTCTTGCCAATCTTAGTATCTTGTCTTTGTCTGTAGTTTTGGTCAACCTGGCTATAATGTGTCTTGGAAAAGATCTTCTTGGGTTGATTCTGTTTGGGGTCCTTTGTATTTCTTGGGACTGGATCTTTTGAGTGCCTCTCTAGGTTTAGAAAGCTTTTTTTTGCAGGATTTCATGGACTAGATTATAAATGCCCTTATGAGTCTCTTTGCCTTCTGGGATACCAATTATACAGATGTTTGGATGTTTGATGGTATTTCTCATATATTATTCTCATCTCTTGGGCCATTTTCTCAGTCTTCGTGGTGGATTTTTCTAGGCCAGCCATTTTCTCTTCTGTGTCTGAGATTCTATCTTCTGTATGATCGATCTAGTCTGCATTTAATATCTTCAGGGGAGATTTTTACTTCCTGTATTATAGCCTTCATCTCTAACAGTTCCTTTTGATTCTTTTGTAAAGTGTGTAATTCCTCTTTTAGATCTTGCAAGAATTTCCTCACCTCCTGGAACTCATCAACTTCTATCTCCTTTCTCTTTAGCAGTTCATTGTCTCTCTTCTCTTCCATCTCTGTTAGCTTCGACATTATGAATACTCTGAATTCTTTATCAGACGTTTCCATGATTTCCATTGAACTATCTGTGTATGAAGAGGAGTTTTTCTTTTCCCTTGGAGGAGAGGGATTTTCTTGCTTTCCCATACTTCTTGTGGCCCTGCGGTGATTTCTAGTCATCTGATGGACGGTGTGTTTCTTCCTAATTCCTGAAGTTCAATCTGAGCATTTAGGAGCGTGCAGAAGGAGGTGATCTGGAGTCCCTTTGCTGTTCCAATTTTATCCCTTTGCGCAGCAGATTTAGTGGATATTGAGGGAGATGTTAACCCTAATAGTATTTGGATGTTTGGCTTTGGTTCCCTCAGATCCGTCCAGAAACACAGAGAATGGAGAGTGAGGAGCAGAGTGATGAGATAAAAGAACAAGAAAAGAAAACAGAGAGAGAGAGAAAAAAACAAACAGTACACAAAGAAACAGAGAAAAAGAAGGGGAAAAATTAAAAAACAATCAAAACAATTTACAAAAAAATAAAATAAAATAAAAAAACACACGGTGTGAAATCACTAGTTCTCAGGAGCCATGAAGGGGTCTTCTGAAGGCCTGCCCCTTGCCTCTGCTGGATGGGCAGGGGAAAGGGAATTATTAGCAAGATAAAGGAGGGGCTGAAAACCAGGAGAATACTTTACCTTAACCATTTTTAAAAAGGAAAAAAAAATACCAAAAAACGAGAAGACAGAAACAGAGGCAGAGAGAGACAGAGACAGAGAGAAGGCTAGAGGGGCTCCCCACCCCTCAAGATTGGGGGAGGCTGAATTATCTTTAGAAAATCTTCATTTCTCTTTTTTCCCTGAAATCACTAGTTCTCAGGAGCCATGGAGGAGTCTTCTCTATTTATTATTATTATTATTATTATTATTATTATTTTTAAATCTGACCAGAGAGAGACATTGAGCAAAAGAGAGAGGGAAAGTGAGAAAGCAAGCCACCAGGTCTAGGACTCAAAACTGTGGCCAGCCAGATGGGAGTCCAGTCCCTCAACCACCACACCACCTGCTGGCCCCAATTTTCTTTTCTTTTTTTAGAGGTTTTTGCCTTAGGGCACGTGCACTTGCTAGAGAGAGACAGAGACAGAGAGAGGGAAAATGGGAAATCACCCCCCCTGGGGATGGCCGCACCACAATCCCTTTTCCATTCTCCTCCTGGGATTTTGGGCATGCGTGCACACATGCCTGAGTGAATTTCAAGGCACTAGGTCTGGGAGTCACACTACAGCCATGTGGGAGTCCAACAACGTTAACTCCTATTCCTTCTATGCTGGTCCCCAGTGTGATTTTCAAGCCACTGGATCCAGGAATTGAACCACGATTGGCCGTGTGGGAATCCAGTTGCCTTAGCCACTATGTCACCTGCTAGCCCCTTGAGTTACTTTTTTGCGGGGTAGGGGAGAGGTCTTGCTATAGGGCGTGTGCACTCGCCAGAAAGACAGAGATAGAGAGACAGAAAGTGAGAAATCACCCCCCGGGG